TTTATTGGGCAGATCGGCACTGAGTCACAAATTTCAAATCTGGAAGGCTTGTGTAACATAGATTGTCCACCATGCTGATACTTCCGGGATGTAAACTCTCGATATACGTAGTGAATTTAACTTCAACTCGGAAGTACATAGTATTCTCTTGTTACGTAGTGAAGATTGTTTTTTAGTCCGATAACTTCACTATAATGAATTGTACTATACACACTATTAGTGTTCCGCAGACTCGAACCGAACTGCATAGTTCTACGATATCTCGTAGTAGCAGAGCCGTTTCCTTTAACAGTTTGTAGTTAGCATAAGGATTGTCTACCATTAATTGTCTAGTTTTTGCTATCGCTATACTAGAAAAACGTTAATTCTGGCAGTATATATGAATGTTCAGTAATAAACTCTCTCTAGACCGAACCTGGATAAAAAAGAACATTTAATAAACTCCAAGTCGAGCTTACAATTCAATTTAGACTTTATAAACTGAGATATTCATTTTTTTTAATAAGCCCTAAGGTTTCAGTATGGAGTTTGACCGCAATTTATTTCGGAACATGACTATATGTGAAATCAACTCTAGGTTAAACTAGTTAGCAAAAGTAAATATATTTTTATTATATACTATACAATTTTATTTTAAGAATAGCCTTAATATAATCTATCAAAACTAGTAACATGTTAATATGTATCAATCCAAATTATCTGGTGTTATATTAGTAGTTTTATCTCCGTTCGATAACTTTTCTTTAATTGGTAAGTTGTTAACTATATTCTCTAAGTCACTAGTAGACCCTTGAAGTCCTTCTAAAGCCGTTAATTTACGTATATAATATTGTATGTCTGTGGTAATTCTAAGTTAAAGTACAGAAAGGTTTTAAAATCATATAACAAATAAATATTATTCATTGCTAAAGTGTAGCCTACCGTTCTTTCCCAAGAGGTGTATAAATATCCACTTTAGCAATTTCTTCTGCAATCTTTGTATTTGACGATTTAAATACATCTAACATTACGTTCTAGTAAGCAAATAAACGTTAATATAGAATTGAACGATCCACTTTTTAAGATATTAAATTACATAGCTATCTCGAGTTACCTGCAGAATTTCCTGCGGAAGATATTTGTTTAAAACCTTATGCAGAGTCGTAGTTTCCTTAACTAATGATTCCATATAAGAGTTCGGACCGTCTTTGGCGCCTGATTCGTCCCAGTTCATTGACTATTATATTTGTGTATGTTTAGTATCTTGTAAAAATATATGACAGTAAAGTTTAAAAATAGTACCTGGAAAGATCTAAGATGAACCACCAGGCGGTCATTCATAATTGATACCAGTTTAGCGTGTATTTCACTTTGGTGGTTAATATAATCCTAAAAACATGAATTTATGACGTTATAATATAATATGGTTAAATTGTTTTTCTGCCGGAAACATACCCTCTTAATCCGATCGAACTCTGTTAACATAACCACTTGTTTGGAATTGAGATTGTGTCGAATACATTCGCGAATATACGGTATCAATGCAATAATAGCACCAAGGGATTGAGACGCAAGTGCTATTATGAAATAATTGTTAAATGAAGTAAATTTCAACTTACAAAGAAACGAGAACTGAAGTGTACCTAAATGTTTTGCTGTGATATTCTTTAATCCTGCAGAGTGCATGGCACCTGCTCCCAAAATAACTTGGCATGTTTTTGAATTAAATAACTGATAAAATAAAAGAGAATTAGTAAATTCAACAATCAAGAATTGAATATAAATAAAGATTCTCGGATGCTAACATTTAAAATTTCTACAATCCTATTCATGGTCTCAGTGGTCAAAACTGGAATATTGACCATACATTTCAGATAATCACCAATCATTTTTAGGAGTAGTAAGCTGCAACCAACTAAAAAAAATTTCCGTTCCTCAACAAATATGTGCCTGTTACTTGATTGCACGGGAGAATTGTTCTGAATACGGTCTTTTTCATTCGTGCCGTTGACGTCATTGTTATAATTAATTTGGGCATCTGGAGGTGGATATACTGGTGAAGCTGGTGGTGATAGATGGTCTAATGGACTGTCCTTGAAATTCGATAACCCTTTTGTAGAGGCATCTATAATTTTATCTACAATTCGCTGAAAATCAATGGGCACACCAGCTTGTATCCATTGTTCATTCTCAACTAATGTTGCCTCTTGCTTTGTCCTTTCCATATGAAAATGAGTCAAAAATGCTTTGGCCTTCCAAAAGAATAATGCATAAGATTAAACTATAAAAAAAAAAAAAAAAAAATTCAGTGAAAGTAACTAATTACCTGAGAAATTATTGTTCCTCGCAGACCATAACACATACGCCCACATAAACTTTCACACTCCAAAACGAATGCCCATGTAACATTGAATAATCGATAAAAATCTTTTTGGTTCAATTGAGCATTCTGATCTGCACGAACTGACATCAATTTAGCACATCGTACATGTGCCAAATCTGCTACAGCATATACTATTTGTGAAGAATCGGATACTAACTGTGTGTATTGACTATTAGAATCAAATTTTATTTCCGCTTTAGGGGTGGGTTCTAGCTTTTTAGGTTGTGGATCTCGTGAAGATGTCGATGATTTTAATGCTAAAGATTGGGTTTTTTGTATTATTGATTTTATTCCAATAGTAATTTTCAAAGCAGTACTGATTTTTGAATTTCCGGAAGCAGTATTAGACTCAGTTTGAGTTTTAATATCCGACATTTTGGCTTCAGTTTCTTTCTGTGATTTATCATCATCGTTTACCTGTAGGTCCTTATTTGATGAACCTTTTTCATTCTCTAATAGGTCAAATTGAGGTCCCCAACTGACTTTTTGAGCATCAGCTAGAATAACGGAGAAAAGTTCATGATAAATTGCAATTCTCTTAAGTCCTTCAAGTAATATTGCATATATTGACAACAACGTGTCTAAAAAAGCATCAAAAGTCATTCCTTTCAATAACTTTGTAGCTTTCGAACTGAATTAAGCAGAGTTAACATTTATAAATCTGAACATAAAAATATCATTTATCGATAAGAAATAATATGATTTTTACCTACGTTCCGTTGATGAATAACTTGAGTGATCATCTTTAGCTTCTGTGAGAGTCATTGAAGATTTAAAATGCTATTGTATTACGAAATTCCGCAAAATGAATAATTAGTTATTTTAATAGCTAAATATTTTCAAATCTTAGTACAAACCTTTTGAATTTGGACCATTTTTTTGACTTCCTCCAACATCCTCTCGCGATATGCTTGCAAAGCAGACGCGAATCGATTTATTCTGTATAAGCCTAAAACTAATGGCGTTATTCTTTTTTTCAACCTTTCTTCATTATCTATTACAACAGGATCGTTCATAACACTGATTGAAGGGGTACTATGTTTTACGGAATGATTAATCTTATTATCATTACAAAGAATATTTATTGCATTTGTAGTGTTCACATTTTCAACATGTTCTTCAAAATCCATAAACAACATGTTCAACAGATCATTTTCCATCATTACACCGATTGACTTGTACATGTCACCAAGTTGCCCACCAAAATACATTAATACTCTTACTCCTCTTAAATCGATGGTACCAGACCTTTTGAACCCATCCGCTACATTACTTAATCTATTAGCAATCATCATTCTATGATTATTTGTTGATGAGATTGGAGTTTTTAAGCTTTGCTCGTTAATTAACTCTTCCAATTGAGGTCGTTGACTCTCGCCACCATTCAAAATAGAATTTGTTTCCTCAATTAAATCCAAAGCAGAAAAATAATCACCCTGTCCCAATAACGCCTGTATTACTGATTGAGTTGAGCTAATTTCTGCGACCATCCTTAAACCCTCATAAAGTTTACCCATATTTGCACGGCGCCGTTTTAGCCTCACAATTTCAAGCCCTTGTTTGGCTTGAGAATCATCTATATGTGTTAATTGTTGACGTAAATTGTTTATTTGAGAAATGCATTCTAATGTTTCGGAATGTAAAGCTTGAAGATTTGATAAAGCTTCGAAAAATGAAGATGATCGTAGAGAAATTTCTTTAATAAGATGCACTTCAACCGTATCAAGATAATGAGAAAGCTTTTCTTGAAGGATTGCGTTTGTCGAAATAGTCGGATTCTTAGGGTTACCATCGATAATATCAGTGTTTTCACACACAAGATCAAATGTTCTAGGGTTTTCTAGATTAAAGTCAGGATCAAAAAATATTGAAGGGACTGTCTCTAGTAATGGAAGATCGATTACAGGTTCTAAGGGCTGGTCATCATCAGGAGAAAAAGGAGGCATACGCACGGAATAAGGATTTCTTGTACTCTCTAGTCGGTGTGCAGGGATTTCAGAATCGACGTTTGGCAAATTCTCGAGATTTGCCAAGATTTTTGTAGTGGAAGCAACAGGAGATTCGGTGAAAGAAGAAGTTGATTTCCTGATAGATTGCGAATTTTCTACACCACATTCTTTGTTATAACTGTACCTCTCAAAAACAGGAGTAATTTGTTTAAGATAGCTACTGAAATCGGTAGGTTTTACTTTTTTTATGATAGTGGGAGCTACTGATGGAATATCGTTCTTTGTAGGTCTGGCAGTAGTTGAGGCTTTCGTATTTGGATCATTTAGTACACCAGAAATCGCTACATAACATTATCAAAGATCAGATCATACATTCAAGATCGGAAAATGATATGAATTACTCCGACAGTTTATAGAATACCGTTGAACCCGATGTCCTTTTGACGACGCCAATTGAATTGAATCGGTAAAAAAAAAAAAAGACAAAAAAAATTAAATTTTTGATAATTGCTAAAAAGAAAAAAAGTATGCAATTAAAATTACCCAAAAGATTAATGAGCATTGTTACTTTATATAAAAGAAAAAAATATTAGATTACCTTAGTAGTCCATGGCAAAGATGTTTCGGACATTGTACTAAAATTAGATATTGAAGAATTTAATGAAATTCGACGAGCGAGGCCTCGATTATAACCTCTACCGTATAAAGACATTGCTGAAGATACCCGCTGATTTACAGGAGAAGACGAAGCTGAAAAATAATCGTTGGTTTCATAGCTGCGGGTTGAAGAGGAAGAAAACCGGCGAGGAGATTGTGACAGATTAGACGGATTTTTAATAGATTTGGGAGAAATTGTTCCGGACCGACCGACACCAGGGAGATCTACTTCTAAAGAGGAAGGTTTAGGTGTCACTTTATTACTCGCTTTTTCACTCATTTTATTAATGATAGTAAAATTATTTTTTGATTATTAAAAAATTAAAAATTATCGCTATCGCTATGTATTCAAATACGTAGTATTTATAGTATTTGTCCGGTTTGTTACCAATCACAAGCTCCGAAGCTGGTAATAAAGCTAAACCGCTTGAGCCGTTAGAACCATCGGAATGTTCGGAATGATGACTTTTTTTTTGCATCATAGATTAATACAGAACGGTAATACAATTTGTGGATTACGTTATATCGATGTGGAGATATCTAAACGTAAATTATCATTTTGCGGGCAGAACCGCATAGCTGACCGTTTTTTTGTAGATTATTAGTAAACACATAGGTACGTATGTATAACAATTGTTCTTCGTCATATATAGACGATAATTTAAATCATATGTAAACAATGAGTACAACCGATTTTGATCTTAAGATGGTGTGAAGTTGATAATCAAACATAGATATTGTACAACGTTTATCGTTAAATTCGCGCTCTATAAATAGCCTGATTTTTGTATCAATCAAATTTGCAACTGATAACTGTTGTTTTCTTATACACAATTACATTTATATTTTTATATAATAATATGTCTCCACCATCCGGAAAACAATCAGAATCAGGTTTAGCTCGTTTATTAGGTTCAGGGACTTCAGGGATACTTGAACTACTCGTATTTCACCCCGTTGATACTGTAGCCAAACGGTTAATGACAAACCCTACAAAAGTATGACGCGTTATTTTTATATCAATTGATAATATTCAAACTAATAAATATCATTTTTACTTTAACAGATATTTGTTCCTGGTGCACCTTTATCTCAGGGATTTAGTAACCTCGACAAAGTCATATTTAAGGTTGTACTTTCTTTTTCTTTGCGTGAAAATTATCTTAACATTTTAACCAATTAGTCAAATTTTAGGGCGACTATTCTTCTAGCATTTTACGAAAATATACATCATTATTTCCTGGTTTAGGGTATGCTGGAGGATATAAGATTCTTCAACGAATTTACAAATATGGCGGGCAACCTTATGTAAAAGATTATCTTAATAAGTATCATAGAGACTTTTTTTATACAACTTTTGGCGAAAAAAGTGGTAAAACAATAATACATGCAACAGCTGGAAGGTAAGAAAAATTTTATGATATCTGAATTCGTAACTATGTGACTATTAACAATAACTGACCTATTAATTAGTGTAATTGGTGTTGGCGAAGTAGCACTCCTTCCGTTAGATGTTTTAAAAATTAAACGTCAAACAAATCCAGAAACTTTAAAAGGACGTAATATTTTTCAAATTTTCTGGGAAGAGCGTCATCGCCTTTATAGGTAATGTTGGTTCATCAAACATAAAAATTTTTTATATCGGACATATCGGACTAATATAATTTTATATGAATTAGAGGTGGTCTTTGGACAGCAGCTCGTAATGCACCTGGCAGCTTTGCATTGGTAATTAGTAATTTATTTCTCATTTAATTTGATTCCTTAATTCTTATGAAAATAATTCTTTATAGTTTGGTGGTTCGGCCTTTGTCAAAGAATACATATTTGGCCTCAAGGATTTTTCCAAAGCCACATTTTTCCAAAACTTTTGTGCCTCAATAGGCGGTGCTATAGCTTCCATCAGTGTAGCTCAACCGCTTGATGTTGTCAAAACCCGTATTCAAAATAGACCATTTGAATCACCTGAAAGTGGTTTACAAATAGTCCGTAATATGATTAGGCAAGAAGGTATGTTTTAGAATATTACATATTGACTTCAAACAAATGACTGTATTAATATTAATGTTACTTGTACTATATAGGTATTAATTCCTTTTTCAAAGGAATCACACCAAAATTAATGGTAGTTGGACCCAAATTAGTATTTTCATTCACTGTGGCACAGCAATTAATTCCATTATTAGATAATTTCCTTATGGGAAAAGGTATTGGTAATCCTAATACTATCTAAAAAAATATAGTTTAACCCATCCATTAATACTCGAGTCTACTCGTGTGTTGACTCATTTATATGTTTTAGAATCATAAGATAAAAAATAATACAAAGAATTATAAGATAAAAAATAATACAAAGATCATTCTCAGATATGTATTATATATTCTTACTATAAATTCAAAGGTTGTCTCTTTAAAATTTTATTACTTTTTTTCTATTAGTTATTCCCAGGTCTATTAAAGTAGTTAATTTCCCCGGTGCATTACTATTTTCCTGGAAATTGAAATGAATTAAAAGAAATATGATATAAGTGATTATTAACACGAATTCTCGTCATGTTCGTATGAAAACGATAAATTACGCTTTTATTCCACTGTGTCGGGGAAATAATTGAAGCATTCATGTATGGACGCAAGTAGGGGTCTGTGCCGGGCATATGGGCATTATCCAGGCACTAGGTGCCTCATGCCATGCCTATGCCTATAGGCATAAAATGCCAGGCACTATTGTAGGCATGGGCACAAAGTGCCGGGCATCATTAAAGGCATGGGCACAAAGTGCCGGGCACTAGCAAAGGCATGGGCACAAAGTACTAGGCACAAGGTGCCGGGCACAGGTGCCGGGCAAAGTGCCAGGCATAATTAAATAATAAATACTAAATTTCTGTGCCTGTGCCCATGCCCATGCCAAGTTTTTTGTGCCGTGCCTATGCCTATGCCAATTTTTTATGCCCATGCCTGAGCTTTCATGCCTATGCCCATGCCCAGACCTTTTGTTGGGCACATGCACGTGCCTGGGTTGCAGACCCCTTCACGCAAGGTATCTCATACATGTGCTGCTAAGGAGATGTTTCATTTAGTGATACAATCGAAAATCGAATTAATCGATTAGTTGTAAAGTTGGCAACTAATCGATTTGAATTTTACAAACCCAACTTAGTTGACTAATCGATTAGTCAACTGATCATATAGGAATATCAACCCAACTGTTTCAGTTGCTACTTTACGTGTATTTGGCCAAGTTTCATTTATTATTTGATTCAACTAATAGATTAATCTATTAGTTGGTCAATCGATTATTGCGGTTTGTAAATTTTGCAGATCAAAATAATAATAATAATAATAATCGATTATGATTATATATAGTTTTTTTTCATATATTTTTTTAAACTTAGATTAAACTTTAATAATATTATGTAAATTTTTATAAAAGACGTAATAAACTCTAATTTTAACTTATTAATAATATTAAGTTAAAATTAGAGTTTATTACGCCTTTTATAAAAATTTACATAATATTAAAGTTTAAAGTTTAAAAAAATATATGAAAAAAATTATAATCATAATCGATTATTATTTTTTTTTTTTTGATCTGCAAAATTTACAAAATTTTGCAAACCGCAAATAATCGATTGGCCAACTAATCGATAAGTTGAATAAAATTGATTAATCGATTATTGAATAAATGATTTTTCATCAATTTTTATCGCTAAGTCTCATTATTCAAAGTTTATTAGTGATCGGCTTATAAAATACTGTATTTTTCCAACATGTATACCCCCGTGGGCTATACCCTGCAGCAATTTAGAGTGCCAAATTTTGATTTATACCCGGGTATATAAGTATGGGCATATAATAGTAGAACATCAAAAAATATAGAAGTACTCGTACAGTATACCCCCCTACACGCGTACCCTGGGTACTAAAATGTGCTAGGGAAATACCCCGGCTACACATGGTGGGAAAATCAATAATTTTACATTTTTACATGGTAAATTATTGTTGGTTTATTTTGTAAGCTAACTATAGTAAGGCATTGGTAACTATATGCTATTTCTGTCGTCCCAGTGAATAAATCATTGTATTTAAAAAGTTTTATTCATTTATTTATTAAGATGAATCGTGCAAACAATTCATGCTACGTATTTCTTTAGAACATTTGCGCATATACGTACGAATGCTTTTATGCCTTATTTAGTTAAGTAATAAGTTAACTCCATAAATGGAGATAGTCTAAAGCCAGATACAGTTAGGGATGGGACACTGCGCAGGCGGAAAAATTCGGAAGCCCGGAAATTTCCGGAATGCGTCAGAATTTAAGAATTT